TTGTAAATTTTTGTAATCGGTAAACACGTATACATGGACACCGTTCTACGGACCATAGACTCTTCTATAGGTCGTTGACTAGTCGTAAGAACTGATATTCAAGTCAACTTTCTATAATTTTTCAACTCAAACTCAACTTCCAATTTACGAGGTGTTACATGGAGAGGAGCCAAATATTTGTTGGAAAAATAATTCTTATATTTCAAAACTAAGTTATAATATATTCTTGAGTTAATATCTTAATAGGTCACTAAACTATGAGAAATTAACTTTAAAATGTATTGAACTTTCTTTTGTATCAATAAAATCACTCAATTTAATACTTTTATCTTTAAAATGATTCATTTACATTTATCATTAAAATAAAATCTTGAACACATAGGAGGACAATACTTATACATCTAATAATTTGCTCCTTGATCATATGAGTTACTCAACCTTGGATCTAAAAACGTGACTGTCTTCCCTTCGGTCCACGATTGTCATTTCTGAGATAGTTATTTACATGTGTGTAAGAAAAGTATGAAAGATAAATCAAACAGCTTTCTTCTACGAATACTAATGTTAGACACAATGACATACTATCAAGGCAACGACAAAATATATGCATTGAATATTTGGGTTAACATGATTTTATAATTTTGTTTATTTGTGGGTATTACATGTTATAGAAAAATAGTTTATTTTTTATGTCAAATTTATTTTATAATGATAAATGTAGTTGAATGATATTTGAAGATAAAAGTATTAAGTTGAGTGATTTTACTGATACAAATGAAAGTTTAATGATTTTTCTAGATAATTTTTTATTGTTTTGTGACTTTTTAAGATATTAACTCTATATTGTTTATCATTTACTAGCGATGAGTAATTAATGACCATTAATCATCCTTATTATTCATCGTTATCATTTCTACTGGTCCAATTTACAATCCGAGTCAAGTATAAGGTGCTAAAAATGACTTGTTTTTAAAAGCACTTTTTTAAAAGATGGAATGACGTGGGAGACCCTTATACTTGACTCGGATTGTAAGTTAGAACCTTCTACTTCACGAAATTTCAACTAGACACTTAAACTCATTCAAAATAAGAATTTTACGCCCTTAGTCATTGTGTGTTCCTCACTTTCTCTAACATGAATGACACCTCATATTCATCCAAAAAATTAATGCCACATCATATCCACATCATTGGCTGTCATTTTTATATTCATCTACTAAAAAAAACTATTTTATCTTTGAATTTAATGTGAAAAAATTGAATATGGCTAGAAATGATATTTTACAAAAAAAAATTAGTCATATTTTCCGTTATAGCTTATCAAGAGCTTCACCATTGTTTTTACTCATTAAACAAACTTATCAATAGATCAAACAAACACATAAAACATATGAAAAACACAAAACATGAATGCATTCTCTCTTGGTGCACGGTAGCATAACCTGCGCCTACCATGGGTAAGAGAGCTCGTACACCTACTCAAAAGGCGTTAATGGCGAAAGAAGCTCAAGGCATGAAGGGGATTTCTCAGCGGGGTCGGAAACCAGGTACGGCAGGGCGTAAAAATGCAGAACCAAGTTCGGAAGTAGCAAATTCAAGTAAGAACTCAGTAGAATCTACAGGAGCAGAGGAATCAAGGCAACTAAGTCCAGATCTAGCGTCTGTGCAACTGAAGAATAAAGCTAAAGTACCAACTGAGATGTTAATCGAGAAAATGTAAGAGGAAACTAATGGAACAGTACCATGCAACCAGGAAATACTGAAGCAGCAACAAGCTAAAGCAGTGGGAATTTGGAATGAGATTACATCAAGGGGAGGTGTTGAATCAAGTAGTAGCAAGCAATCCTGGGCTGATGAAGTGGAGGAGGAAACTACAGCACAAGGTAAGAAGAAATCAATTTGGGATGAATTCGATATAGCAAAACTGTCAAATGCAGGGTATGAATTGGAGTATGTAGCTCCTGCAAAGCAAGGTGAAAAACAAGTAGTGGAAATTGAGTTAGAGGATATCAGATCTGAGATTACTTATTGGGGAAATGCAGTGGTATGCTATGTTCTAGGAGCACATCCTCCTTTCCAGGTGGTAAAAGGATTTATCCAGAGGTTATGGGGTAAGCATGGGATTGATAAAGTATCTATGCTAAAGAATGGGGTTATAGTGGTGCGATTTGAATCTGAGATAGGAAAGCAAGAGGTGCTGCAAGGTGGCATCTATCATTTTGACAATAAGTCATTTATTGTCACAGAGTGGACACACGAATTAGAGTTTACAAAGGAGGAACTACAGTCGGTGCCGATTTGGATCAAATTACCAGGGTTAGATTTCAAGTACTGGAGCAGGAAAGGGCTAAGTAAGATTGGTAGTTTGATAGGAAAACCTCTAATGGTGGATCACAACTGAGGAAAGAAATGGTCTAAACTTTGCTAGGCTACTGATTGAAGTAGAAATGGGAGCACCATTACCGGATGAGGTGAAGTTCAAGAATGAAAAAGGAAAAGTGATTGAGCAGCCAGTGCAATATGATTGGAAGCCAACATTGTGTAGGTACTGCAAGAAGTATGGGCATGTGGAAGAGGAATGCAGAGTGAAGAGGAAAGGGCAAAACAGTGATCAGGTACCTCACAAGGGGCTGGTGGAAAATCATATAAAGCAGAAACAAGTGCAGGAAGGGAACAAACAAATTAGACAGACAGTTGTAGTAGCACAGGGACGGCCTATGAGTAATAAAGAGGGATGGCAAACTCCTGCAAAATTAGGGAAGACAACTACCACACCACCAGGGAAGAATTCTCGGATAGAGAGTGTAAATTCATTTCAAATATTGCAGACGAGGGTTGACAACGAAGGCAATAGAAGTAATGTGGGAGGCCAGACAATTGAAAAGTCTGGGAATGGTTAACCTACTGAGCTGGGATGTGAGGGGGCTAAATGCTCCTAATAAGCAAAAGGAGGTTAAACTCCTTTGCAATGAGGAAAGGGTAAGTTTGATTGGTTTACTAGAAACTAAAATAAAGAGTGAAAAGATAGGAAAAATGGCTGAAAATATGTTTGCAGGATGGCAGTACATTACCAACTTGGAAAATCATTATAATGGTAGGATATGGATTACTTGGAGACCTGATTACTACCAAGTACAGATCATCAGTAAGACAGCTCAACAGATTACATGTGAGGTATTGTACTTACCTCTTCAAATTGTATTCGAGATTTCATATGTTTATGCTTTTAATAGTAGGGAAGAAAGGAAAGAGTTGTGGGAAAGCCTGTTGATTCAAAGTAAAAGATGCTCTAAGCCATGGATGGTAATTGGAGACTTCAATTCAATTCTGAAAGCTGATGATAGAATAGGTGGGAATCCTGTAAGTTGGTCAGAAATAGTAGATTTCAATGAATGTGTGACAGATTGTGGTTTGCTGGAAGTTCCTACTCAGGGGAATAGGTACACCTGGAGTGACAAGCATTATGGTAATAGGATTTTTTCAAAGATTGACTGGATCTTTATTAATAATGAGTGGTTGGATACTATGCTTTCATGTAAGGCCATGTTTCTACCTGAGGGTATTAGTGATCACTGCCCTGCAAAGGTTATCCTCAGTGAAAATTGTAAGATCAAGAAGTCATTTCAATTCTGTAATGTGTGGACTAAACACCCACACTTTCAGGATATAGTGAGTGAAGGATGGAATAAAACTATAGAAGGATTTATGATGTTTCAGGTGGTGAGAAAACTGAAAATATTAAAAAAGAAGTTGAAGGAGCTGCATGTACAAGATTTCCAGAATATTGTAACAGAGGCAACAGTGGACAGAGAAAGATTGAAGCAAGCACAAAAGATATTGCAGACAAGCCCAAATAATATTGAGTACCAACAACTTGAAAGTCAGGCTTATCAGAAATTTAGGAAGTCTTCCTACTTGGCTGAATTATTCCTACAGCAGAGAAGTAAAGCAACTTGGATTAGATTAGGGGATGATAATACCAAATACTTCTATTCAGTCATATAGCATAGAAAGTTGAAGCATGCTACCACTCAATTAAAGAATAACTCTGGAGTATGGCAAAATGATCCTACAATTATTGCCAATCTAATTGTGGAATACTATCAGGACATTTTAGGAAATATAACACAACATAGAGTACAAGCAGTAAGGGCCATAACTTGCCAAGGGACTACACTTACTCAGGAGTAGCAGAGGGAATTGATAGATAATTTTGATCCAACTGAGGTGAAGAAGGTAATGTATCAGATAGACAGTAATAAAAGTCCAGGGCCAGATGGGTTTGGAAGTGGATTTTTTAAAGCAACTTGGTCAATAGTGGGACAAGATGTTACCAATGCAGTATTGGAATTCTTTGAAAACAGCAAATTATTAAGAAAAATTAACTCTACTAGTATTGCACTCATTCCGAAAGTAGAGTTACCTGAATATGCTAGTCAATTCAGGCCAATATCCTGCTGTAATGTTCTATATAAATGTATTTCTAAGCTAATATGTGGTAGGCTGAAGAAGGCAATTAGTTGTATTGTTGCAGAAAATCAATCAGCTTTTGTGCAAGGAAGATCAATGATGCATAATGTCCTGATTTGCCATGACCTCTTGAGACACTACAATAGGAAGAATGTATCTCCTAGGTGTCTCATGAAGATAGACTTGAAAAAAGCTTATGATATGGTCAGTTGAGAATTTTTGGAAGAAGTACTCACTGGATTTAGATTCCCTAAAGGTTTTTTATTAAATGGATTATAATGTGTGTAACTACAATAATGTTCTCTGTGAAAGTTAATAGGGAAAATCATGGTTACTTTGCTGGGAGGAGAGGGCTTAGACAAGGATATCCAGTCTCTCCTTATTATTTATATTAGTGATGGAATACTTATCAAGAACACTCCGAAACATGAGCATGCTGCCAAATTTCAAGTATTACCCTATGTGTAAGAAGGTTCAGCTTACTCGTCTGATTTTTGCTGATGATTTGATGATATTCTGCAAGGGCAATTTGGCTTCTATGAGTAGAGTAATGGAAGCCTTAGCACATTTCAGTGCTGCTACAGGACTAGAGGCAAATATGGAAAAATCTAGTGTATTTATAGCTAGGGTGGATGAGGATACAAAGGCACATATTCTTGAAAGAACTGTTTCTCACTTGGAGAGTTCCCTATAAGGTATCTTGGACTTCCATTATCTCCCAAGAAGTGGAAGAAAATTGATTGTTGCTCTCTTATTACCAAGATTACACAGAGGATTAAAGTGACATATTCCAAGACACTCTCATATGCTGGCAGATTGCAAGTAGTTAATGCAGTATTATTTTCCATCCACAGCTTCTGGGGGGCAGTGTTTATCCTTCCCCAAAACATACTGAAGGAAATAGATATGTTATGCAGGGATTACTTGTGGGGAAGGTCTGATGAGAAGAGAAAAATTGCTTTGGTTTCCTGGGAAAATGTCTGCTATACAAAAAGACAAGGTGGATTGAACATCAAAGGCAGTAGGACCTGGAATATAGCATCAGTGGGGCAATTGATACACAGAGGATTAAAGTGACATATTCCAAGACACTCTCATATGCTGGCAGATTGCAAGTAGTTAATGCAGTATTATTTTCCATCCATAGCTTCTGAGGGGCAGTGTTTATCCTTCCCCAAAACATACTGAAGGAAATAGATATGTTATGCAGGGATTACTTGTGGGGAAGGTCTGATGAGAAGAGAAAAATTGCTTTGGTTTCCTGGGAAAATGTCTGCTATCCAAAAAGACAAGGTGGATTGAACATCAAAGGCAGTAGGACCTGGAATATAGCATCAGTGGGGCAATTGATATGGCAGATCATAATGCATAAGGAATCATTGTGGGTTAAATGGATACATGGAATTTATTTAAAGGATGAAATGTCAATATGGAATTATAGGGTGCCCATAGATTGTAGTTGGTATAGGCGAAAACTTAATGCTATTAAAGAACAAATGAAAGGTTGGTACTGCTAGGGAAGATACATGTTGACAAAAAATGGTACATATTCCATCACACGGAGTTATTTGGCAATTAAAGGGCAAAGACAACAATTGGAAACTGCTGATTTAGTGTGGACTGTTGTGGCTCTACCAAAACACAGATTCATGGTGTGGCTAGCTATACAAGGTCGATTGCTTACACAAGAGAGAAAGTTGAGACTGCACATTCAGGTTGATGACACTAAATGTTGTCTATGTGAAGAGAAAGTTATGGAGACCACAAAGCATTTGTTTGAAGAATGTAAATGGTCTAAGATGGTATGGCAAGAGATAGTTCAGTGGACAGGTATATATTTGATAAACAATGGGATCAAACAGTTTCTGGATGGAATAAAGGAGAAACATTGGAAGCAGTTTAAAAAGGAGACTATTGCGGCAATTAGTGGAGCAGTCCTATATCACACTTGGCGTGCTAGAAATTGGAAGAAGTACAAAGGAAAGAATGTAAATACAAAAGATGCAGTCATACAGATTAAGACGGAGATAACAGAAAGAATACAATTCTTGAGTAATTCAAAGAAAGCTCAAAGATGTAGAGGTTTCATTCAACATTTACTTTGTAATTAGTTTCCTTGTTTGGTTGGAGACCTGAACTTGTTATCAGGAGAGGGTACTCTTTATTTGTAATTGTTTTTGGATGGTTATGGTAATAGTTTACATTGGTTACCAAAAAAAGAAACACAGAACATGAAATCGGAGAAATGAAGCCCACTGAAAAGTTGAACATAAAATGGTAAAGTTCGACGGAGTTACAATTTCTGGTCAGTAATAATAGTTAATCACAACAACAACTCAAACATACACATCAATATTAGAAGGGTCCAATTTACAATCTAAGTTAAGAACTTCTCAGGTCATTCCGCCTTTTAAAAATAGCTTAACAGAAAAATTCTTTTGATAATTCATTTGAAAAACATTTTTGATAAATATATCGTGTTTGACTAATTTCATAAAAAAAATGTTTTTGAGAGTCAAATTCCAAAAAATGCTAAGTATCAACTTCTCAAGTCATTCCGCCTTTTAAAAATAGCTTTACAGAAAAGTTCTTTTGATAATTTATTTGAAAAACATTTTTGATAAATATATTGTGTTTGACTAATTTCATTAAAAAAAATGTTTTTGAGAGTCAAATTCTAAAAAATGCTAAGTATCAATGTACTTCTAAAATTAAGATTATTTTAAAGAGACAAATTATTTTATATATCTATTATAAAAAAAAATGTTTTAATTCTTATTTTTATTAAATTAAAATGTACACATTAAAATTTTCAATCAATATTATACATAGATAAATAAAAATTAATCAAATATTGATATAATCCTTTAAAAATATTGTTGTTATTCTTTTTCTAATCCTACAAAAATATTGTTATTACCTTTTTTGCTAATTCTGTAAAATAAAATTTAAAATAATAATATGTAACCGTAAAATAAAATTATGAAATTATTATAAGAAATACAATTCTTAAATGAAACTTAACCGAATATATTAGTTAAGTTAATTAATTAATAAAGGATATATTGGTTAATATGTATATAAGTAAGAGATATTTTGGTCTTGAAATAAATATTTCCAACTTCTGCTTCTGTCTTTTTCTAAGAACCAGAAATTTTGAGTTTCTTCCCAACAACAAAAAAACTACTTCTGCTTTCCATTTAAAAGCAGTTTTACTAATTTGTCAAACACCTTAATTTTTCAAAAAAAAAATCTTTAAATAAGTGTTTTTGGCCTCTCAATAGTCAATAGCAGTGTCAAACAATCTCTAAAATTGATTAACCATTAATGCTTTTTGAATTCTTATAATGATTACCAGTTTCAATATCTACGATTTACTACTCCTCCGGTCTATTTTTATCTATTGAATGTATTAAAAATAGTTGCCCAACTTTATTTGTCCAATTTAAAAAATTAAAAAATAATTTATATTTTTAATATTTAAATGATTTATAATTAATAAGTGTGATATGATAAAATTATTCCTCTATTTATTACTTCTTAAAAAGGTGTGCCAAAATAAATAATACACAGAGAAAATACATACAATATACATGGAAAGGCCTTTAAGGCTCTGATAATGCTTAATAATTGAGATATTACTCTTTCTATCTAAACATTATCTCCATATAAAATTTCCTTTGACTTAACTTTTAGAGAGGGAAGCAAGAAGATGAAGAAAAAATTCTCCTTTCTATATTCTACTGTGCTAGATTTTTATTTTTTATTGAATCTTTGTTATTTTTTTGTTCTTAATTTCATAAAAGAGGGGCCTGTTGTGGACAATGTCTTTAATACACCTCAATAAGCTATGAAAATTCTTTACAAGTTTGTGATCAAGTATTTTAAATAAAATTTCCAACAGTACTTGCAACATGGGAATAAGGTAAAAGTTGCCCAAATCCGAAAAACAACAAAGTTTATATAATTACGAAGCCAATGTCAAAAATTTCTCGCATCGAAAAGCTACCTTTAATATTACTTTGGCTATGTTACATGAAACTGAATTAGATTTTTTTGATGTTTTCCCCGACAATATAAATTAGGTTGAATTAACGGGAAGAGGAAAAAGGGCTAGGGCTTAAGTTTTGAGGGAGATTCCCGGTGAAGGGTAATTAATTATAGTGTTTATGAATGTTTTGAGTTAATCATACTCAATCACTACTAGTATTCATAAAAATCTTCTTAAGCTTCTCATTTTACCTTAAACGAGATGATTTTAATCACATAAATATCTATTTCTTATATTAGATCATAAATTTTAAAATTCTTTTTTTACTTTTAATTTCATACTCAGTGAAACACGTTTAGATAAATCGAAATATATACAAGAGGACTAATAAGTTGAGAAGAGTGCTAGTCAAACATTACAAATAAACTAAGAATTAATGATCAGCTAAATTAAATGGAAGAAGAGAAATAGTAATCATATCACTTTTTTTTTGTGACATTATCTGAAATAGGAAACACCAATTATTGTTCTCTCTGTAATAATAGGAATATTTGTAAATGTAGTGTCATCGGTAAAATAAATAAAAAATGATATAACATACATTATAAATGATCTATTAGTTGGTATCTGAACTTTAGCTTTGTTGATGAGAGTTTTATTTTCCACCTCATCATAATCTTTTCAAATATTACGTACCCCTCCATTAAAAAACAATAAGTATATATAATTAGATGAAATAATTTGTTATATTCTCATGACCAGAAAGACTCCCAAGTTGTCTCACCAAGATGCCAAATATCAGTATCATCATCATGTGACAAAGGGGTTGAATCTTGAAATGGATAATAATGATCTGATAATGATTGTTGTTTGGGTATTAAAGTCATCAAATTTGCATTTTGGGATTGTAAATTAGAGATGTGAGCTTGTGTCAAAGCAACCTGTGCTTGGAGTTTAGTCATTTGGTCATGAAGATGGGAAATTACACCAGCACTTCCATATATTGGATCTCTCATCCTTGCATTTGCTTCATAAACAAGGCTCTTAACTGCATCTGCTCTTTGTGTTGCTGGAAGCTCCTGAAACCACATATATAGTTTGTTATTTACTTTCTATTTTAGTTCGACGTTAATGAAATGATTTATAGTTACACAAACATTTCAAACTTATTTCTTTCTTTCTTGGCGTTGTTAAACTACATTATATAAGTTGAGACAAAGGGAATAATACTTTTCATTTTCCAAGAATCAATATAGCTAATCTTTAAAGTGAAAATTGAATAAAATCAACTTAATATTTTAACATTAAAATATGAATATTCAAAAGTGACAGAAAGTACATACGAGGTGATCTCTCTTTTTTTTTAAATTTTCCTTGTGTCTGTGTGAGATACGACGAGAGGGAGTTACTCAACACCCCTCACTTTTAACCCAAAAACAAAAAAGGTGAAAAAAAGAAAAAAAACAAGAAAAGTGTATTGCTAGCTAGTTTTGGCTTATACCTTTTTTTTTTGGCTAAGGAACACATGCATGATTGGTCTTAATTATTGCTACCTAGTTTCAAATTTCTTTTATTCTTTTCATTTCTTTCCATGTTTTTCACCTTTCTAAAAACAAATCTTAGGAATTAAGTAATGTTATGATCGTATAATAAATTTATATTTACCTGCAGCAACTTGATGATGTTGCTTGCTCCAAATATTTTATGAGCGACGATGAATTTCATGGGCTCATTGGGTGGAAAGTAAGGCTTTAACAGGCAATCTTCCAAACATCGGCGACGGAGAAATTTACACGCAGCACAAGGGGTAAACAGACTTCTATTTTCTGTTGAACAAGAAGAATAATCCGCCATTCCTTGATCGCCTGATATATAATTCTAGGTTTAATTAATTTCCTTCTTATTAAAATATATAAAACTTTGTATTGCACTTTTCTTACTTTTTCCTCTTTTTACTGGAATATATTTTTATATGAGTATTTGGCATGTCATATATATATACTAGCTAGAGTGTCCGTGTCATAAGTTGTTTAATTAAAGGAAGGTCAAAGTTCTAATTATATATGCCAAGAATATTATAACATAATACTACAGTACTACTATTACCACTTAAGGAAAATATGTTAAGTATTGTATGGACAACGTGACTTTGAAATATTTTTCAAGAACAAGACGCGTTCCTTTTCTTCTCCGAAACTGCCAAGCAGATGCAGGGGAAACTTGTTACTTCTATTAATGCAGCTTCATCACACCCAACCAGAGGTCTCGAGTTGGAGTGCAGTGATGGGACTATATTACTCCTAACCAGAGGTCGTTTTGAATTTGAGTATATTTGGTATGGAGAAAATTTTTTTGGGAGCGCCACCTCTACATGGACTTTGCAGTGTGCAAATCGAATTTAATTGAGGCTCCAATATGAATTGTGCACACAACGGTCAGAAACCAAATACATACATATGACTGATTATTATATGTATACTAGTTCCTAGATACGTAACGGCCAACATGTATTTCAAAGTTAATTATATTTTAAAAGTGTGTATGTACTCTTTATGTGTTTTGACTTGGCATAGAGTTTAAGAAAGTAAAATATGCCTTAAATCTTATGGTCTAAAATTAAAGATTTGTCAAATGTACCAAAATGTCTTTTAATATTGTGATCCTAAACATGTCATGCGAAAAATTGAAATTAATAACTTGCTAAAAAATGAAAAGGTTATTCTTTTTTAAGCAAATTAAAAAGAAAAGTAGATTAAATAAACTGAAACAGAGAAAAAATAATATATATATATATATGTGTGTGTGTGTGTGTGTGTGTGTGTTAATTATTTTATACAAATTCTATAATTGTAAAATAGAGATTTCTAATTATATACAGTGGTGGAATAGTGGATTTTTCTTTAGATGTTGTAACTTTCAATTTCGTCGCAATTTCATATTTCCTACATAGAAATTCACTATATCTATAGTTGAAGGTCTATTCATTATATATCTCAATTTTGTAAGAAAATGATTTTGAAAATATAAAAATCGTCAATTTGTTTCAAGAAAAATCACTCCTACAATCTAAAATAGTCATTATACGTCTAATAAAAGAAAAAAAAACTATATATTTAGATTACTACTATAATTATAAACTTGCAACAGATTAAAAGATTTTATTTTCAAGCTCTTTAGGGGTTTAATTCCTTTCAAAATGCTATTGTTTTCATGTATCTAAACTACAAAAAAATTGACAAAAACGATGGTCAAATGCAACGGATTGCATTGTTTTTTTTTTATCAAAATCGACGAAAAAGCGACGCAACTACTTCCGTCGCTTTTGTCTTCGATGCTTTTTGAAAAACGATGAACGACGTCACTTAAAAACGACGAACTGTTTCGTTTTGGTTGTTTAATTTTATTTTTTTATTTAAAAAAATACGATATGTCAGTCGTCGCTTTTTTTTTTCTTAGAAAAACATCTGATAAAGCGATGGACTGCGTCACATTTCTGGATTATTTTTTTTAAAATGCATAAAAGCAACAGAAAAAAGGACGTCTCTTTTCTACAACATTTTTGACAGTAGAAATGTCAATTTCTGTTGCCCACCTGCAAATAAAATTCAATCTAATCCATTCATAACATATCAAACAAGTAACATCATACACACAATATATAATAACAAACTTAATTAAATATTTAAAAACACAAAAATAAAGACTTATAAAGTCATCCAAAATTAGTACAGAAATCTAAAATGTCCATTAATTAAAAGAATTCTAGTTAAGGGGTGGACTCTATATATTCATCTTCATCACTATCGTCGGTGTCCTTAGTTGGGGAGGACCCTGTTGAAGAACATGACGCAGTTTGTCGACGAGCGAGGTTGAGCACTTGTTCTTTGATTTGTTGAACGATTTCGTTCATCTTTTAATTATTCTACAACACTTTTTGTCTCATACGCTTCCAATGCACGTGTAAGTTGTGCGATTTGCTCCGATAGTGCAGCTATCTGAACACCGTCAAGTATCCGGCTTGGCGTGACGATCCAATACCTTCTAGATCTGATTGAAGTCGTTGTACATTGTTTTGAGAGTCATTCCATAGATTCTGCTCATAAGTATCCCCCTACCACTTTTTTCAGTCTAAAAGATTTGAGTGAACTCTTCAGGCGTGAATTTGACCATATTGCCCATCACAAGCACGTGGAGCTCATACTCTCTCCTCATATTAAAAATAAAGTTAGCACATATATATATATATCGTTTGGCCTTTTTCACAATTCACTCATCTGGATCCAACTCATTAAATTAAGCTTCTTATTCACATGAGTTCTCTTGAAAACCTCATTACGAAGAGGAGTGCACTCCAATTCTTTTTTCCTATAAACAAAAATACAATTTTAGATAAAATTAATCAAATAATATTTAATCAAATAATTTATTTAAAAGTATGAATTAGAAGTTAAATTGTTTAAAGAGTTGAACATTCAAATTGAGGAACCAGTATTTGTGTTTTGTGATAGTAAAACAGCTATATATTCAAGTTGTTGCAAACCTTGTGTTTCATGAAAGAACCGCAAGGGTTTCAGTACTATCCGTATCCCTACTAGTGACCAACAAGCAGACATGCTAACCAAATCTTTGGGAAAACCTTACTGTTGACTAAACCTGGTGTTTTGAATAATTTCATGACAGCTGGTTTGAGGAGGAGTATTGAAGATAGGCAGGGTAGTGGAGTAACTTGACCTCCCTAATTAGTTGTCAGCTTAGTTTAGCAGTTAGTTGTTGTTGGGATCAGTTAAATGTAACTGTTTATGTTATTGTGGACAGGTGTAGGACTGTGATAGGTTGTAAGTATAGTTAGTGAAATTGTCAATTACATTGTCAGATAATTTTACTAATTGTATCATGTAGTTTACCATCTTATTGCTTTAATTAGAATGTTATCCTTTGATGACCCTAGTTTAAATGTTTTAGAAAGGAGTACTTTTATGAGATCTTTTTTATCAGTTATAGTTGGCTTGCAACAACAGATACAGTAACGACTGCTAATAAGCATCAGATGTTTTTCTGGTTTTACTTATTTTCTTATATATCTCTTTCAATTTGGCTTCTGCCTTATCTCCTTGATCTAATTATGTTTTTATACTCATCGGTGCATTTATACAACTTAAACATTTCTTTTAGACGCATTCACTTAACATCGATCTTTGCGATTTAAACATATATTGGCTGCAGGCAAACAAACCACCTTTGGCATATAAAAATATAATATGTCTAGGCACTTTGCATGGATTTTTAAACCATTAGCATTGCATTTTGAAGAACCAAGCATGTGGTCATTTGGACTGAAAATATGTGAAACAAAGGAAATGATTTGTTATGTCAACTGCTCCATCATATTTCTTATCTCTTTCATCATACATAATGGTTCGAAATATAGGTGGTGGTGGTGGTGGTGGTGGCGGCGGCGGCAAAGGAGGAATGGGGTGGAAGAGATAGAGACTTTATGTAAATGAAGACAACCATTGGATATTCAACCACCGGATTGACAAGACAATATTTCAATTTATTTTTTGGATTACAATAAAAGTAATTGTCCAGCAATGCAGAGTTAAGAACTTCTGCAGGAAATAAACACAGTGAAAGTTCACTTATTCTAAAGTACAATTTTTAGCTTTAGATTGATTGATTGCATTTCATCTACATTGGTAAATTTAACATTTCAGACACATAAAAACATATTATCAGCAACATCTCTAAATATGATTATTCTGGTGATAGATGTTTATTACAACAACAAAAATTAGCCGGAAAACTATCCCCCAATAAGCCATAGGACCAAATATGCTTAGACAGAGCAGGAGCCAGTAACAACAACTACACTTTATTCCGATAAATATACTCTCCCCCGCAATAAGCTAAGGCTTGAGGAAAAGCTTTAACACTGCTTTTTCAAGATATGTTTCTCATGTAAATACTCTGCTAAAAACATCTCTGCTATAATTTGAATTCTAATAAACTCCAACTATAACTCAAACCCATGCTTGTCTATAGTTCGCCGGTCCATTCGGAACAATGAAGAAAACCAATCAAATGCCACTCTTAAGCTCTGGGATTAAAGAGATGTAAAAAAGAGGTGATGAGTCAATACTAACTTGGTAAAATATATGCAAAGCATATTCACAATAGACAGACATGGAAGTAACAAATGCTGATATAGACAAAGAACAAACTGAAATTTGGATGAATGATCCGTTTATTTAGTTTTATCTTTCTGAAACCACCTTCATAGGCATTTCTATTAGTATTAGAATTTTCTGAAAGGTAACAATCTCGGTTTCATAGATAAATTTATACAGAATCTTTGAAAAAGACTTTCTTTCATAAGAAAGAAAATACTTACTATCTGTGGGATTTGATCAAGACTTAAATGGATCGACTCTATTGAAAAAGTTAAATCCTAATTTTTACTAGACAATCATGCACTCACCTGCTCATGTAAGTGTGGTCAATGGTGTTAACAATAATCTTGTCTCCTTCTACGATATGTTTCGGTACCTAGAAAAAAGGGAAAGATGTAAAGCAGAAAGTGAAGAACTTGCTCATCTACTTCAACTGCAGTTAATACATATTGCTCGATATACATAATTGAGATTTGTCATAATGCTACATACTTGATCCAGCAGAAACCAAATTATTCAGTCCGATCAAAATACTAGGCAGTACATTTTTCAAAGGTCAGAGAGAGGTGGAACAGACAGGAATGACACCTCCAAACTAAAAAAGATTTGATATTTGTGTTCTTTCATTTTTGTTTTCTCCTGTAGTGGCTGGTGGGACGGCGGAGCTTATGGAAATTATTGTCT